AGCGGCATTGAAGAAGGGAGAGGGAGGGAGGTGAGGGAGAGAGAGAGAAGGGGCGGAGAGGGAGGGCCCCCCCCCTCCCCCCCAAGGGGAAAAAAAGCGCCACGAGAAAGTTAGTGGTCGGACAGCATTGTCCCCGCCGCCACCGAGGAAAACGTCGATCACGGCCATGCCGCTGCCATAAAACTTTCTAGTCGCGTCTCCAACAATTTTTATACCGTTCCGATGCCTTGCTGTAGGGTGAGCTGTAGGGGGTCGGGGGGACTGAGGAGCCTGCTCGGGCGCGCAAGCCGAGCCGTGGGAGGACACGGCCAGCCCAGCAACAGCATCCCCACTGTAGCGCCCCCGCCTAGGACTGTCCGCGGTCACCATTGTCCCTGCTCGTCAGACTAGTCAAAGGTGCGTCTTCAATAGGGGGCGTTACGACACTAAACCAATGGGCGAACGGCGACAAAACAAACACACCAAAAAAGAAAAACAAGTAGTACAAATATACAAAAATAACTTACCTCCTCTGACTTCACACTTGAGCACCATATTGTCGCCCTCGAGGAGCGGTCCGATCGAGGAGTTGACTTTCTTCCCAGAGATGTCGTACACGTTGAGCGAGTGCGGCGGAACTGGCGACAGAAGAAGAGAGGGAAAAAATCCGTCATTAATTAAGCGCAAGATTTGTTCCCGAGATACCGCAGACAACACGCTCGAGGAACCAGCTGTCACGAAGAATTACGGCCGCCACCTCACTGCGTAATTAAGTTGTTTTTTCCCCTCGGCTGTCGCCCTCCAGCCCCGGGGAGGAGAGCAATCTGCAATGAACCAGCCGCTCAAATTGGGCCGACGTTGTTTTATGAACACATTTCGGTGCGCGCAAGGTTAAGGACAGCAGTTGAGTGAAAATCAGATTCCACGCCGTGCGGGTCCATCACTTTTTTATCTGAATAAACCGTGGAATAAACACTCCCGTACCCGGGGAGCTTGCTTCTTCGCACTCCGACGAAGTTTCGCATCCGGCGCGAAGGAAGGAGGCTAGTTTTTTTTGCCCCCTCTACTAAGAATCATGAATAAAACAGAGCTTTATGCACATACATAATCGTTCGGAAACCCCGTGGACCCTTCACTTTCTTGAGAGACAGACAGCCGTGTGCATCTCTGCTCTGCACCATTTCCCGGCTCTGAGGCGCGTCCCGTGATGGTAGATAAAGCTTGAATTGTACTTTGTTTTTAAGTACAACTCTTTAAAAAGAATACTCGGATAAATTTCTGATCGCGTTTTGTTTAGTTTATGCTGCTTAGTTCTACACGCTGTACAAGTTAGCAGATCACATTTTCAAATAAGAGAAAAAATGTATTGATAATAAAAGTGGCTAGAAAGTTAAAAACATAACAATAAGTATTAACTTTAGGGGTATACAACCCGAAATGTACGGGGCATTTAGTTTGTCTGTCGTTAGGCGAGCCTCAAGCCGAATAATCCAGCCATTGTGCCCACCCTTGTTAGGTCGCGCCTTCTTGTTGCTCGACTTGACCTCTTTGCGGACAATCACTTTTAAAAGACTTCTCCAAGGAAGAGGGGGCGGCCATTCTCCGCCAAAACAATAGCGAGGCAGCGCGGCAAAAACGAACAAACTGCGAGAATATACCACCGCTGTGTTGTATATACGGCGCACCGCATCAAAAAAGGTTTATACGCAAAAAGAACAGGGAAGGAGGGGATGACAAAGGACGGCGGTGCAAATTCTCCATCCTTATCAAACAAAAGCACACTGTGCGCGAGTCAACACAATACTCCAATACACTGCAAGAGGCCATTGGAGGGCGGAGGGACGCCGGGGAAACTACCCTGATGGTCTTGTCATCATGTCCCCGTACCTTGTTATACGTACCCTCCTTTATGACGGAGAAAGATTAATGCCCGGAACGTCCAGATTTAATTACATAAGCTCCTTTGAGTCAAGGGGTGTGGGGGAGGAGGGGGAGGGAGGAGTCATAACTCGAGTACAGGTGCCACGCCTCCCACCAGCACAGCCTGCCCACCAGGCCCCGCCCGGACGAGAAAGGAAGGTAATTGAGTTTGAGGAGCCGTGGTGCTGACGTGGCGCGGTGGGCTGCAGTGGGCGACGCGCGATACATGGCATCTTAAATGACGGCTTTCATTGCACCTGTTGGTCGAATGTCATACAACCACATGAGAGCGTGCCGCGCTACATTTTTTTTATGATGGATGACATTCTTGTAAAACGATCTTATTTGTTGTGTTACAAAAGTTATAGTAAAGTTACAACATTTTTTGTTAGAAACCAACCAATCGTGTTCCTCGACACCTGTTTAGGTACGAACATGTGAAAAGAAATTTTCCTTATCGAAAGCAACTGTTGTTTGTCAACCAATTGGTTAACAACTCTTTTGTTGTGACACAGTTGTGTCATCACTTATGTGTTTGATTTCCAACTACCATTTTTTACAGTATGCACAAAAACTAAAATCATTGGGCGAACCATACTTAACTCGCAAAATGTTACAGCCTAAACACTGGACGTGGTGCAGTAAGTGATTAATCATTCCCAAATATTGGCCACAAAAATTGCTCATCGAAACGATTCCTTCTTATGCGCCCCTTTCATTCAACCTTAACTGGCAGTGCATGGGGGGCTGCAGGAGAAGCGATGTCGAGCAGCCGTAGCGTTCCGACGTCAGTACGCGTTTGCCAACTTTGACAGCTTTTGGCTTCATTTAGGAAAGGTGGAGGGGGAGGTACGGGGTTAGAGTGTATAGCGGCATTGAAGAAGGGAGAGGGAGGGAGGTGAGAGAGAGAGAGAGAGAAGGGGCAGAGAGGGAGAGAAGGGGCAGAGAGGGAGAGAAGGGCAGAGAGAGAAAGAGAGTGGTCTGCACGAGACTAGAGAGAGGTCGGACATTTTCGCCAGTGCGCGCTGCTCTTGCTCGACAGGGAGGAACCTCTCGGAGCGGGTGAGCAGGTCGTCCATACCTGTACAGGTCTGCGCCGGACAGGCAGGCAGGTATCCCACCTTACACCCCCACCCCAGCCCTGTTCGCCCTCCCTCCGCTCCGCCAGCCGCCCGCAAGGCAGCGGCGCAGAGCCAGTGGCCTACCCACGTGACCGCAGGCGCTCGCATTCCAGCCGTGGGTACGGCGTCCTACCCGGGCAGGCGGCCATACATTCTTACGGGGCTGCGGAGACCGAGTGTGCGCTGCGCAGAGCATGCGACACAGCCAAGGCGGGCACAGCCGGGCAGAGCAGAGCTCTGCTCACCAAGATTCAGTGGTTGGATGGCAACGTTGTGAATGGACCGGGCGGCAATCCGTCTTCACACACCAGAAACAACTGCAGAAACCCAAGTCTTCGTTCGTTTATGTCGCCGAATTGTCGTAAATGAAGCCAGCGACCGTATTTCATAGGAAGTCTGTCACTTATTCGCACTGGTCGCCCTGGTAGCCACCGGCTTATGGATCCACGCCATCGCTTGCCCACGAGACTCCAGTGTAGTCTCTGTAGTCTCTTGGCTTGCCCCCCCTCCTCCTCGCCAATGGCTCGGGCTCACCTCACGGCCCTCTCTAATAAGGAGGTTTATTCACTCAGGCAGGCATCTCAAAAGCGTAACTCACAGTGAAAATCTGTCGTGTGGAGGAAGAGAAAAAGGAAAACGACTAACTGCGCTTTCAAGTAACGTTTGTGGTACAAGCAGCTATGGTAATGCTAACATAGCCACTTGCCACGAAGGCTAACGACTTGCGGAGCGATGGCAAAGCTCAATTCAATTGTTGATCCTCGTTTCTTTTCTACCCTTTGAATGGAGTGTCTGAGTTCAAGGCAGACAGACGTGCGGCAAGTGTGTGGTAACGTAAGAGTGTTCCGTAATATATCGGGAAGCCTGTTACGCGAGACGTGGTCTAGCGCAAATCTCTTAAGAGGAAGCAAACGGTTTATTCCAGTGTTAGATCTGGAAACAAACAGATCTACGGATCGGATCATCATGTCTCTCCAAAGTGCTACTTGAACTTGATAGGGACTTGTTGGTGTCCGACAACCGTATATGCTGTTTGGCTGTCCCCACCGTTCCCGCCACCCCCATCCTACGGCAGTTCATTGGCCAGTAACCACAAAGCCTGCATATTTTTTCCCCACTTTTCTTTCTCATCCACAATTACCCGCCGACGTCCCTAAGCTGATTAGGCGGGCGGCAATGCACTTTGTAAACCCCCCATGACAGCCCCTCCAGTTCCCGCCCCTTTTTTGCACAAAGGCGCTCTTTATGCCTCTCACAGTGATCCTCTGGGGGCGCCTTTCAGAACACTGTTATTTTAATGTTCTACAGACTGATCGATGATATACTCGAGGCTGTTGTCCAGGATTCAGCTCATTATCGGCATCTTCGTCGGCATCACACCATCGGGCACCGCGGGGGTAGAATAATGTGAAGGAATGCCGCCAGATGCCGGCTGATTCTTTCCTGGAAAACACCGTTTACCTACATGGTGTGCATTCCGAATGTTTCACACCGTATACTGTAAATGCGGGGGGGCAATTTTTGTACATAGGTTAGATGTGTCTTTGAGCACACCAGATACTAATTTGTCTATACACTGTTAAATTCCTACAAAGCAAGGCTTTGCAGAACTGCCAAGTTTTCAGACTAAGAAGCATTTACCTCACAATTACGAAGTGATTCTTTGCAATTGCACAGCAACGAAACACGCTGCAAAGCATCGCTTTGCAATTTCAAAGCGTCACTTTGCAGTTGCAAATCACCACTTTGCAATTGCAAAGTAAATGCTACGTGGTAACAAAGGATCTAAATACTTGACAGTTCTGCAAAGCATTGCTTTGCAGGAATCTACCAGTGTATGGAGGAATAAATTTTACCTAGGCTAGGTACAAAAATGCTATATTTTGGATGAAACGTAGATACAATTCTGTATCAAGTCCAGATGTGCACAAAGAAGATACAATTCTGTATCAAGTCCAGATGTGCACAAAGACTTATCTTGCCTTACGTACAAAAATTGTCCCTCGCCATTTAGAGTGTAAGCCGTGCAGACTTTCTCCTTTTCGCCCCTTTAGGCTGGGGAGGAATAGGCGCGTATAGGCGGGCAGTGCGGAGGCAGAGCAAAAGACTAGGTGGGGGATTACCGGCGCCGGTTGTCACCCGGCAACACACTAGTTCACGCCGCACACTCACGGCAGGATTTATGAATGCGCGCAGGTGCCTCCATGCCCTCATCGACAGCTGGTATGGTGCAGGCCAAGGGAAAAAAGGGGGGCAGCGCACCAATTGAATCGAATTCTTCGCCCCTTCTCTTTACTTCCCTTGCACTCGCATCCCTCTACCGTTCTCCCTCCACCTCCCCTTTCACTCTATCTCTCAGTCACACACTTTGGCATTGGGTGTAGCTCCTCACCACCCTGCCCTTTGTGATCTCCGTCAAGTGTCTACATTCGATCTTGTCCGACCAGCATCCTTGACTAAAGCAAATATCCGACAACCATTTCCTCGTAGAGTCCCACACCGACAAACACAGTAACACACTGGCAAAACATACTTATATTCGTGCATAGTGGTTTTTATGACATATGCGTCTATTGTTTGATATCCCGCGAACTGTG